TGTTTGTTTTTGAAAAGGGGGGGGGGGATGGCGTACGGCCATTACGCCCTCACCTGGACCCGCCCTTGGCAAAGGAATGAAACATGCTGAGGTTTATCAAACATCCCTAGTGACATCACAATAAACAACATGCCATGAATTTGAGCAAAAGCCAAGCATGGTAGCATTTCCCTAGCTTTTTACAGTAAAAACAATCTTCAAAAAATATTTTAGTTTTGATCAATCAATATTTGTTCACAATACAGACATTTATCACAGTCACAGATACTATATAAAAGCAATTCTTCAACAGACAAAGTACGATGTATGTATATTGTAAGGTCATCTTAAAAGATTAATATGTTTCTAGGTCATCCTTATTTTAAAGAGTACGAAAGATACCTCATGGTTTAAAATTACACATAAAGTGCATATCCAAGGAGTTTACGGTTTGGTTTTGATGTATTTATTAGTTATGAAGTACAGCTGGACACACTATTAGCATGTGCAGCACCTGTGTTATGAAGGTGGTGTGTAAAAGACAATTTTTTCTTCTAAACATTTGTCTAAAAATCGAGAAAAAATTGCGAATAGTGTTTAAATATCTAACGCTTGAGTAATTGAGAAAATGAATAAAATGAATAAAATGAGCACATGTTATAGCAGAAATATTATTTAGTTTCTGATAGGCTGAATAGAAAATTACAGATGACATGAATTTGTAAGAATAATTTTCATTGTAATTTATCCGAAACTATGTTGCATGTTGCAGAACAGAAATGAATTCATCCAGCAAAATAATAAAATACTCAGTCTTCCAACGTGATACAAGTTTGTTTATACACTGATACCCTTACCATAATGTCCATATACCATCTCTGAGCAGTAGAGTTCTTTGTTGAAGCTCTACATACTACTTCTAGAGAACACAAAACTAAAATATCAGAAATGGAATCTTCAACTACAGCTGGTAGACATGAACACCGGGAACCCTGAGGAATTAGTTTATTATACATGAACAGTTAGCCGTTTGTAGGACGACTTAGTTACTACATCTCATTCTTTCACCCTCTTTCAAATATGAGCACATATATAATATAATATGACTTTTCATTAATTTGGCACCATAGAAATAACTTACTGATAAGAGTTATCTCCCTTATTGTTAACAAAATGTAATTAAAGAAATAAGGAAAGTTATTCTATTTTCCAAATGAAAAGATTTTTTTTGTTGTTTTGGAAACAATAAAAGATAAACTTGTGTTCATTAAACTGCAAAGATTGTGATTTTTTTCTGGAACCCTACTGTTTATATTAAATTGCATTATAAAAATATCTATACAAAATAAAACAAAATCACAAAAAGACAAATTCTCAAGGTTTCCCTGCTAACCAGTAACTTTGAGAATTGGTCTTCTTGTGATTTTAAATGTTTGTATCTTTTCCCTGTCACACAAACTTCAATTCTTTATTTGTATTCTATATATATATATATGATTTGTATAATATTGTTTACAATGTATAACTATAACATAAAAGGTTTATGGGAATTTTCCATTTTTCTGTTACAAACTGTTGCAGTTTAGAAATATGCATAAAACTTGAGCAATTCAAATGGATCAATTGTATAAATGGTGCCATTGAAAAAAAATAAAAAATAGAAAATAATGTTTTACAGTATGATAATGTATTAACATAAAAAAACTGCTTTTATAGCATTCTGTACACAGGGGCTTGGTTACAAGATTTCGAGTAATATATGATGTTAATTGTAATAATTCCGTTTGCTAATCAACCTATACACACCAGTAAACAATAGCAACACTTTTTATCTGGTGTCTACACACTGTCTAAAACCTGATAAAAATTGAGGGTATCAATGTATAAGGTATTTGTAGGTTTTAGAATGTGTATCTACACTGGATTAAAAGTGTTGCTACATTATTTACTCGTGTGTATAGGTTTATTATTAACTGAAATTATTACAATTTAAGTCATATATTCCTCAAAACCCTGAAACCGATCCCCTATGATTCTGTATACATCACCCAATAAACTGAACTTTAGTTATCAGGAATGGATTATCAAATATTATGCATTATTGATGATAAATAATAATTATGATATATCGAGAAAATTTCACCCAGTCAAATATTGGCCCTTCACTGGTAAAACACATATTTGCTCAGTATTGAGTTTTCATTGATATTTACTGTCATGGTAAACTTGTTCTCATTAATATTACAGAGGGTTAAAAAGTCAAAAGTTAACCCGCTGCGAGAATTTCCTATTGTACAGTAAATAACTGCATATAAATATTAACTTATACATGTATTATCATCACAGAAACATAATAGTGTATTGTGTAATAGAACATGTGAAATATCAATAAATACAATGTATAGTAGGTAATGAAGTCTACATTAAACAAGAGGCCCATGGGCCTTAACGGTCACCTGATATATTTATACAGAGAGTTGATTTTGTTTTTAACATGAACAGAAATATTATTCAAAGTGACAAAAAACAATAAAACCACCTTACTCAATATCTAGCATACAGATTTCAGACTAAAAAGGATTTGAAACTAGCACCTCTGATTCTTAACAAGGAAAATGAAGAAATTTTAGCACACTGACTCCTTTGAGCCCCACCCTACAGCCCTTGGGGGTAGGGCTGGCTCAAAATTTTCAAAGTATCAAACTGTCAATTCAAGGTTATAATTCCAATCAAGTTATTAACATGTAAT